AAAAAAAAAAAAAAAAAAAAAAAAAAAAAAAAAAAAAAAAAAAAAAAAAAAAAAAAAAAAAAGTTACCCCTTTGGTACCTAATAGCTTGTCTTTTTTCCTTTATAATTTGAATTCGTAAGCTTTTTTTCATTAGGGTGAAAGTGAAAATACAAGATTATTACGTAATGAAGGAGTCGTGAACTTCCACAATAGTATGATATTATCCACTCTGAGAATAATCTCTCATGGCTCATACCAATGAAGTAGCGTTCCTTACTCATAAACTCATGATGTTCTACTTAATTAGCTAATGTGAGGCTACTCTAAATAATAAGTGACTAATAAGTCGAACAAGTTTTTGGCTTATTCAATATTTATTTAAAATTTAGGATTCTATCGTGCATAAATTCAATTTTATATATAATATTTTATGGTCAAAATAGGTAACAACTTACAAAGCTTGGTCTTAACTTGAGTTGAGGTGTCTACCTATGGTCATCGGTAGGAGTGTCCATGAATAGGGTTGGAAAAACTTTTTGAATCATTCTAAAATGTCAAGTTGGTTGGATTGGTAACTCAAAATTGGTTAACAATACATAGTTATTCAAACAATCCTAGAAGAAAAATATAGAAAGTTTATAAATTCATAGCTATTCAATAAACACACGTCAATCTATAATCACAACAACAATGCTTAAATAAGTAACTCAATTGAGCACACCAGCCATCCGCTATCTAACCCAACTCAACATTTACGCCATCCGGTATCTATCACCCTAACCGAGTCTAAATGTGACTGGATTCTGGTACTAACAGCTAAGATTAATAGAAGAAATATTCCTAAATGATCAGTAATCTTAAAGAAGTTAAAGAATTTGAATTGATTTTGTAAGTATTGAGGTGTTACAGTATTTGCAGCTAGCATTTAAAGACTATAGCTGCTGCTTTAACGTACGAAAGGACTGATTTCTTTTCCTTTTCATTAAGTTGGAAGAAGCAATATATAGCCTGAAACGATGAACACAGAGAGGGAGAGGGACGAGGCTCACTCTACGAGAAACAAAATAAAAGGGAAATGTAACGACTCAGATCAACCGCTAGCAGATATTGTCTTCTTTAGATTTTCCCTTTCGGACTTTCCCTCAATGCTTTAAAACGCGTTTGCAAAGGGAAGGTTTCCACACCCTCATAAATGGTGGTTTGTTCTCCTCCCAACCAATGTGGGACATCACAATCCACCCCCCTTCGGGGCCCAACGTCCTCTCTGGCACTCTTTCCTTCCTTCAATCGATGTGGGACCACCCCCAAATCCACCTCCCTCTGGGGCCAGCGTCCTTACTGGCACACTGCCTTGTGTCTACCCCCGAACAGCGAGAAGGCAGGCACATCGTCTGGTATCTGGCTCTGATACCATTTGTAATGACCCAGATCCACCGCTAGCAGATATTGTCCTCTTTGGGCTTTTCCTTTCGGGTTTCCCCTCAAGGCTTTAAAACATGTCTGCTAAGAGAATGTTTCCACACCCTTATAAATAGTGGTTTGTTCTACTCACCAACCAATGTGAGATATCGCAAAAAAAGGTGAGAAAAAGGGGTTACTCAGCTTGCTTGCTTCACAGAGGTAACTCAACTCAGACACACAGGCTACGAACACATTTTTCCATCAACAAAAATGCAATACCCTTTTCTAAAAGCTGCAATCCATCTTTTTTACTGGGTGGAGGTTGGAAATCCAGGGTTTGACTTGGTCAATGAGGAATTAGGGTTTGAAATCTGTAGTAGCTAAGGATCTTAATATTGTTCCATTCCATTCCATTCCAGCTGTGTCCCATTCATTCATCCAACAGACCCAATTTAAAGAGGTGTCAGAAATTTTCTGCTTTGCTCTCTGGGAATTTCATACTTTCAACATCACTAATCTTTTCTTTTCTGATTCTGAACAAAACTGTGTCAAATTCAATCCTTCTGGAAATAATTACCATTTCCAATCTCATTATCTGTATCATTTGTTCCTCTAAAATCCACTCTGCAGCTCCACTATGAACAAAAACATGATATTTCTAAACACATAATAACCTGTTCTAAAGTTTCTGCTGCTTTCTGCATCTACTCCTTCCATGTCTGCATGAAAAACATATATATATATATATATATATATATATATATATATATATATATATATATATACAAGTTCTTGAAATCAAGATTGCAATATAATTACTACTCACTCCAATGACTATTAACTATTGTGAGTGTCAGAGAATTGAAACACTTTGGTCTCTTCTGTTTACTTCTCTGTCTGCGTTCAATAATATATCTATCTCCACTGTTGTTAAGGCTTTGCACTCAACTCCTTGACTCAGGCTTTAACACCTAATGTCTTTCTTTCTGTTTGCTATAACTGATTTGTAGAAATGCTACTAGATTTCTCTGCTGCTACTTGTATTTGCCTCTAACAGCAATTCCTATTATCAACTTCAACAGTTTCTTCCTCTAACCTGTTTTAATGATTTTCAGTAGGATGGAAATCATTTTTGGGACATTGATGATGGTTCTTAAGGGTTGGTCGTAATCATTTGTTGGCTACAAAAGGTTCGCCAAACATCATGATGAGAATTGAGTTGACATTGCTTTTCTCCCTTTCAGAATTATCATGACAATCCAGAACCNCCCCCCCCCCTTTTCTCACCTTAAACTTCATCTCAAACTCTGCTCTCTTCCTCCTAACACCTCCTATTTTGTTTCCAAATTATGATGTAATTCTGCTAATTGGGACCCTAAAACCAACCAGCAATCTATGTAACCCAGAGAAACAAAAGCAGCCTTTGCTTGGCAATGGACTACAAAATTATGGCATGTAAGAACACAGAACACGGGAAAGAAAAAAGAAGTCACTAGAAAAAGAGTATCAGAAGGAAAAACTTTGCTACTTTGCTCCTTTTGTTCTCAGCTGATTGTACTTTTGTATCATATATTTGAATCTAGATATCAAATCAGAATAAGAGGCAAGGAAATAAAGAAATAATGACAAGAAGAAAAAGCAGTTTAATTTCAGATTCTAGCAACATCTTACATACCTGACTGCTAATGATATATAGTTTGACATTTTCTTTTGTAAGGCAACTTTGTTTCACAAGCGCTTGGAACTTGAGGTTAGCCACTTTTTGCTAAAAGAAGCAGTTACCAATTCCATTCAAATGTACCTGCACAACAATATCCTCTACATAGTCCTACTACTTAGCAAAATGCCATGTCCAATGATCTAGTTTCAGTCATCTTCCTGAAAATGAGTGTGTGCATTCACAATAAATCGACCAAAGGTTTATCGAGATAAAAAATATCATTCCGAGGAAAAAAAATATATATATCGAGATAAATCTATAATCCAGTGCAAAGTACATTTCACCTCCTTCCCCTTTACAACCCCATACATAAGACTTATGGGCGAAGGTGACCAGGCGGAGATCACAATCAAAACCTAGAATGACTCCAGCAATCAATGTGCCATTATATATTAAAAGAAAAGAAAAGAACTCTGGACTTCTTGTAATAAAATGATTATATCGAGGAGGAGTTGTATTCAACAAGCTAAAGACTAAGCTTGAGAAACTGTCACGAAGTAGAGAGTCCAAAACCTTTCTTTTTAAGACAGTTGACTTTTGTTCACCTTTACTTACTACATACAAGCATTAATCTTCAATATGGCAAAGCCACAACTGCAAGTCTTCATCCTCTAATCTGTTTTCTTCCCTTTCTTTTCATCCTTCTTCTGGTATAGAGCTATCTGACTCAAAATGGTACCGTTTGTTGCAATAGAAAGAGCCGATCCCAAGAGAACTTTGACAAGTTTAAGGACCACAGTTTGTCAAAATGAATAAAATAGGAAAAGAACTTGAATGGATTATATTAACAGGAAATAAAAACGAAAGGTTACTCATAAAGCCAGAGAGCGCCAGTGAATCAAGTTTTCAAAGACCCGGAGGAATGTCGCATTATGTTTGCAGATGAATACAATGCTTGCATAGGCAATCAGGCTTAACTTATGCATATATATTTGCAAACAGAAAAAAAAAATATATATATATATATATATATTAAAAATTTCCCATCAAGTTCATAATTTTCAAGTAGCCGATGAGTAAAAAAAAAAAACTGAAGGATGCTAATAAATCAGAAGAAGTGTTCTGTTAAAGATTCAACCCATAAAATCCAAAACGACCTGCATTTTGCAAAACCATAGTTTCGGAGAACTAATAATATCTTGGGATTTTTTTTTTAACAATGCAACTTCACTTCTGTGATGTTCCTACGACTGATTCTTGAATCCAAATTCCTTCTAAAGATGCCATCACTAAAACGACTACATAAACAGTTTAAGTGAAGAAAAAAAGGATACCACTGTTTGGAGCTTTTTCTTGGATGCTGGTGAAAACCCTCACTGCAAGAGAAAAATGAAAGCAACCTTGATAACTTCGCAAGAAAACTGATGCGACCGCTAAATTTCATTATACAATCATCTTACCCATAGAACCTCCAAAGTTCATTAAGGATGTTAAAAAGCTAAGCTCCCCAGTACTTTTGTTCTGTAAAGAGAACATTGCTTTTTTAATAAGAAGTTTCACAACGGAGAGATCAAAACAAAATAAAATTAAGACAAGTCATCAAGCCAAAGAAAATATTATTTATAAACAATATATAACATACCTGAAAGCTAAGAAACATGAATACGGATACGACTTGGATACGACATGACACAGATACTGTTACAAGTCATCTTAAAATCTAAGACAAGGGCACATTTATTACATAATTTTTATACAAGAACATTCATCGTCCATAAGTTTATGCATTTACATGCTTAAAAATATGATGTTGATGTATTTCACTCTCAAAATTTATTATTAAAAGTCAATTTAGTATACTTAAGAAGTATTTGATACATGTTTTACAAATGTTGAACAACTTTATCTAACTAGTATCCATTGCACGGTTGTACTTTTCAAACCGTGCGGCATCATGATTTAGACGCGCCTTGAAAGAAACTCAAGCCTCATTGTACTTTTTCGCTTCTCTTTATGGTTTCGTCCGACCTTAGTCAAGGATCTTCTTCGCCGACTGAACATGAATTATGTAGTAGAAACTAAGCTCCATTTTGCCATGCACATTGTTGTATGTGTATTTCCATTCGATTGCGACTCTAGACAACTTTCTTCTACTCTTAGTCAAGGTCCTTCAAATGCAACGTCACATCTTATTTCATCATCTTGGTTCTCAACAACATGGCCCACATGCTCTACATAGATTGGTAACTTCAACCGGATGTGTTTGGACCCTTTGTTGGGTCAAAATGGCCTTAAATGCTCAATCATAGCTTACCAAGTCATTTCAGCACTTACTGAGACCTATTAGGATATTTTACAGTGCTACGCAGGACCTCTATTGTGTTCGATGCTTCAAGATATCATTCCAAGCCTCAAAATGTCATCAATCTTTGCTGCTCATTTAGGAACACTTACCTAGAATCGACCCATGAGTCAACTTTAATGATCGGAGCATCTCATACATACATCATCAGAGTACTATTGAGGCATGAGTCCTCCTGTGTCCATGTCGAGTCATTGTTGCATACCATGCCGAAGAACTGTTCAATACATCCACCAACGACTAAAAGGGCAGGCACGATGTTGGCACACCCATACCACCCGACAGTAGATTCGAGAACTCATTCCCAAAAGAAGACGCCTAAAACATTCGTCCTACAACAATTGCCCACACTATGACACACGCATGTTCCATGGGTAGTTCACTTAGACTATGGGGCCCAAGGGTGATGAAGAAGTGACACCATGTCTTTCCCTATTGTACATTGTAAGGTGTTTTTCTTTTGGCAGGAGTAAACATCATTTTGGCAAAGCGTCATATGGCCTCATAAAGTCCATCTGGTGTCGAATTGACACCAAAGTAGCGAGCTTCCACATTTCACTTATACTAACTTAACTCCAAAGCTACTTGTCAAAACTCATGCCGGAACCCCAATTTTTGAGATTATGACTCGGAGCCCTACCTAGCCCCCTTCTTTAAGCATGTATCGGACACCCTTGATGACTTCATTACCTCTAATCTTTCTTATACCTTAGCTTGGCATCATGCCCAATTGACACCAAATTAGCGAGCTTCCACATTACACTTATACAAACTTAACTCGAAAGCTACTTGTCAAAACTCACGCTACAACCCCAATTTTTAGGTTATGGCTCAGAGCCCTACCTAGCCCCCTTTAAGCCTGTCTCTGACACCCCTAATGACACCATTGCCTCTAATCTTTCTTATATCCTAGCTCAGCATCATGCACACAGTTCTTGATGTGTTAGATTCGTCCTCCTCGATTGCATCATGACACTTGTCTCTCTCGACCCTCAAGTAGTCCAACGAGTAGCATGCTTTTAACTGACCGCACATGAGGGTCACAATCTATTCTCTTCTTAAAACAACTGTAAAATTCTCCCCATTTAAACTGACGATCGTCCTCCATGATTTTCTTGAGGGCATAGTTGCATCATGGATTGTGACATCTAACACATCTATATTGCTAACAAGTGTTCTATATGTGCCCAACAAGTGTCCTACACATGTCCAACAATTGTTGGAGCATCTAGGCGTCCAACACATGTCGTACACAAACATGCTAGCCAAACTAAAATGTCCGTGCTTCTTAGCCGAAAAGCATGGTAGCACCAAAAGAGCAAAGACACAGATAGGTGGCAGAAGAAAGAAGGCTAGCTGCAACAAAGTTTTAACCTATACCATTGCTACTTTCAGCAAATGTAAAACTTTCTCAAGTCTAACTAGTTCTCACCTCTCAAACAACATAAAGGCAAACTGATACAATGCTACAACAAAAAGAATAATTGAAGGTTAACCAATTTAAATTATCTTTAGTTGTTGGTTGAATTTTTCTTCATGTGTTGTCATTTCCGTATTGTAAGGAGAATTCCTCCATTTTCATTTTTATTTTTAATTATTTCCTTTGTTTTAGGAGGGTGATCCTCCATGGTTGAGTCATGATTCCATTGATGTACGTTTGTTATACAACTTGTATAAATATTCCTAAACATCAAGAAGATGGTGCCCAAAAAATTCATTTAGTCTTGAGTACTTTAACTCCTAGGTATTTATGGCTACAAAGCAAGGAACTATCTCGCCTTTAATGAGGAACAAAGAAAAGTGCTTTCCTAGTATGAAAATCAATGTCTATTACATTTTTGTGTGCTATCAACTAAGCCTCATTCTTTTGGCTTGGAATCTTTTCTCTCTCTCTCTCCTTTTTTTTTAGTCACTTGGACTCCTTATGTGGTTTTTTTTTTCTTTTTTCTTTGTATGTTCTCATATATTCTTCCCTTTTTCTCAATAGAAGATTGGTTTCTTTTCAAAAAAGAAAGAAAAGATGAATAAAACATGGGTTAAGTTCAGCCATGGTTCTGAAATTGATATATATGTGAGTGGGTCCGTTAAATAAAACATGGGTTAAGTTCAGCTTGAACTCGCAAACACAAGGCACTTTCAGAACCATTTGAGTCTACTATGTTTGATTGCTAAAGAACTTGTAGGATATTAAATCATAAGTGGCTACCATGGTTCTTATTGTTGACTAATACACCAACGCATGATGATCAACAAATATAATATTCATTAAAAATTTGAAATTGTATGATAGGACCTTCAAATAAACTTACAGAAAAGTTCTTCCATATTTGTGGAATCCTCGAGAAGAGAAAAATTGCATGTTGAGATGCCTGAAAGGTAGTTTACAAATTGGGAAAGCTTTTAGTATAGGGAGAAAAACTTCAATACACGTAGATGTAAGTCTTCAATTGTTCTTCATTTATTTACTTCCTTTGAGGAATAAACAAATAAATTAGTGACAGAAAAATATCTAAAATAACATTATACAAGAAACGGAGAAAGCTTAAAACATGGATTAAGTAATCTTAATAAACAGTATGAGACTTACGTATAGAGCTTCAAAGAGAACAGGGTTAATTTGACCGGCTAAAACTGTTGGTGCTAGAGCACAATATCTGAGTGGCCATCATGTTAAGGCTCGATGCAAGTTTCTCTATTTTTTTCTTTTTCCAGAATCAATATATAAATAAATAAATAAAAATTAAAAAAAAAAAAAAAAAAA